GGCGGCCGAGGCAGGAGACGGTAGCCGTTGGCCTTCAGCCGCAGACACGCTCGCCTCACGGCCGCCGAGCCGGGGTCAAGCGTTCGATACAGCGCGCGCCCGCAACACAGACGCCCTGAGAACACGGCGCTCTTCGCTGAGGAACGCGCGAAGAGAGACCGTCACTGTCCATCTTCTTCGCCGTCAAGATTCTGCTCGAGGCTCTGACCAAGTGACAGGTGCCAGCGCCGCGCCGGAGGGAAGCGGACGGGGTGATATATTTAAACTTCACAAGGGAGGCATTGTTCGTACGGTAAAGACGCATAAGAAATGTCACACGTCTCTTGTCTGAGGTGCAATATTTCGTTTCTTCTGCAAAGGATGTACACAATTAAATGATTTAAGTTTGCCAAATGTGTCACCCTCCCCAAAGAATAAACAGTCAACTGTTTTGACTGGAATTGATCAGACACTCAAGGACACAGTTGTTCCATTCAACCGTACGTTTTCAAAATAGATTTTGATAAAGCTGCGCTTGTAAACACACACAAAACGTGTCCTCAAGGGCGAATCTTAGAGTTAACAAAGCACTTTATTGACAATTTGAAGAAGAAGAAGAAGAAGAAGAAGAAGAAGAAAGAGACAAGAGAGAGAACCGCACTGTTTTCCACAACCTCACTGTGCCAAGCTAGTCTTGCTGTTCGCGAGGCGACCAACCACTTTCGCTTTCTTTGCCCGGCGCGCGGCGGCGGCGGGAGGGGAGGAGCGGAGGCGGAGCGCGCTGCACTGCGCGGCGCAGCGTCTGCGAACAACTGAAGGCGCGGAAAGCCGCGACACAACGCGACGCCCCCACACCGCGCTTTACTTTGCTGGCACGGAGACGAGGCCCGGGCAAAGAAGCACGGCCCGCAAGACGCGCCACTTTGCACGGGCCGGGGCTGCAGCTGTAGCACAGTGGCGAATGTCGTCGATTTTGGGGGACGTAGGCACCACAGCAAGGTGCACTAGAGCTTTTATTACGATGTACTCGCAATTCGATGGAGACTGAGACGCTCCGGAAACGCGGAAATTGGACTGATGCAGAATTGGATAAAGCTTAGAAATTGTAAAACATGTCAGATGGAAAGAAAATCTTAACGTTGAACTATTCAAACCAAATTCTGTGTAAAACGCGTAAAGGAACATGGTTTATTAGAAATACTCAAATACATTAAAAAATGTCTGATACGCCAATCGCAAAAATCTTAAAATGACTCCAAACATTTTATACAAATAAAGAAATATAAATATATTTTAAATACTTTCCTATCCTTAGACTCTTTTAAGAAAATAAAAATAAAAATTTTGCTTAATCAAATACATAAAAGAAAAAATAAATATTTATTGCCGTCAGGCAAAAGTCAAAGTGAGATAAAACCTTTACAAATATCCAGAATGTTATTTCTGCTGTAACTATTTCAACTCAGAAACTGAAAAATATGAAATACTGAAGATGAAGAAGAAAAGAATTGAAAACACTGCCATCCCTTACTTTCTACCATCTCAACCAAACAGGCTCCGCCAAAACCCCTTCCCCCACCAGGCGATCTTTGAGTTCAAGTGCTGCTCAAAGTCAACATTGCGTGTACAATTTCGAATCACATGTTTTTTTTATTCTTAAAACATTAACAAATGAAACGTCATTGTATTCATCTTTCTAAGATATCTCCATTGCAAGTGAAATGAACTAGAATATACTAGATTTATTTAAAAATCAATCATGAGCCGATTTCATCGGAAATACAAATAAGGTGATCAATAAAATATCTTCAATATTTTACTTGAACTATGATTTAGTATAGGTGGGTAGAACCTAAATTTCCCTATTGTGAACAGTTCATATAGGAGGGTGGTCCATAGTCGGTTGGATTCCTTTTTAAATCGATAAAAAATTACATCTGGAATATGAAATAATATGGAACTCCATTCTGTCCTCCGCCGGCTCTGTTCCTAGCTGTTGACTTACCTGAGCAAAAGGGAGGAGCGAATTTTCAGATAGCATTCTGCTGCATCTGTGCCAAGTAGCTGTCCTGCCTTTACGTAGTACGTGTATATCTGTAAATTCCTTCTGAGGCTCTGGTGCAAATAGGAGGCAAGTGCTATAAAGAATGATTTTTTATTCACCTGAAAATATATTGTCTGTATCTGAAATTCAACTAATTGTTCATATAAAAAGGTTCAAGATAATAGATTACAAAAATAAATCGTTTATTTACTTTAAACGCTTTTATGAAATTTTAAAAAGCATTAATCTACTTTTGATATTAATTTTAAAAACCGTGCTTTAGACATCTTGAGGAGGTCAATGAGAAATAAGACTAAAATTGTAGAAAATATTTTCTAATCATTTATATATATATATA